TTGTTGTTTTGTTTTTGAATAAGAGGCACACTTGACAAAAGTCGTTTGTTATTTGGGAGTATGCAGTACTTGATTACTCTGGCAGCCCAGAAATATGCTACTGATGCCAGCATTCTGATGCCTGAGATGATTGGGAGTTCAGGGGCAATACTTAAATTGTTATTGACACACAGAAGCCATCACTCTGAGTGAGGCATTGAACAGTTGATATAAAATCTTTGGCATTTTCATCAAACATATATCTCTAAACAAATAAAGAAAGAAGCTTAACAAATAACTTCTTCAGTAAAAACAAAAATCTAAGATGATTTACAATGACGATATCCCTTTTATTTTATTAGAAATATTTAATAAACAGTACTTCTCTTTCTTAGAACTTACAAATCTTTCATTAAGTTATTTATAGGATATACCTTTGGGTTCATTAAACAAAGAAAAGTGCTGTGATTTTAGAAACTGTTTTAGAAACTGTAAAGAAAAGAGTTTCTGTTTAGAAATTGTAAATAGATTTTATTTGGAGAATGTAACCTACAGATTATATATTTTTAAAGTTTTGTACTGGGTCTGGCTGGAATGTTAACTTTCCCTGCAGCAGCCCATACAGTGCTGTACTCTGCACTTGTAGCTGGAACAGCAGTGTTATCACACCAGTGTTGTGTCTACTGCTGAGCAGTACTGGCACAGCATTGGGCCTCTCTCTAACCCTCCTAGGGGGTGGGCAAAAAGTGAGAAGAGATACATCACTAGGGCAGCTGACCTAAACCAACCAAAGGGATATTCCATACCATGGGATGTCACACTCAGCAATAAAAGGTGGAAACAGGAAGAAGAGGGGAGGGGTGGGCTCTTGTTGTGAAAACGTCAGTCCTCCTCCCGAACACCGGCTACGTGCGTTGAGGCCCTGCTTCAAGGACGTGGTCAATCATTGCTCATTTGTGGGAAGTAGAGAGTAATTTCTTTCCTCTGCACTTCCACATAGCCTTCATTTATTTTATTTGTTTGTTTTCCTCCGTTCTTTTTATTTTCCCTTTCCCCTTCCCTTTCCCCTTCCCTTTTCCCCTTTCCTTTTTTATTTCCCTTTAGTTAAATTGTTTAGTTCATAATAATCTTTATTTAATTATTATTATTATTTCCCTTTAATTAAATTATCTTTATGTCAACCCATGAGTTGTTCTTTGCTTTACTTCTTCCCCTCCTCATCTAAAAAGAGGGCGAGTGAGAGAGCGGTTGTGGGGTTTAGCTGCCGAGCACGGTAAAACCACCACAAGTTTATTTGGTGAGACGAAGAATACAAGTGTGCCCCTAACCAGGTTATTCTGCTCTGAATGTCTTTTTTCTAAATTGATTTTTCCTTAATCAACAAAATTAAGTTTTAAAATGTATTAACAAAATTAAGAAAATATTCTCTTTTCTCTCTTAGGTTTTGCATAAAAAGTGGACAAGTTTTTGAGCCAAGAAAGATTTTATGTGCCAAAGGAAGTTCTGTGAAGAAGCTCATATTAGTTCTATGAAGATTTATTCTTCTTATTATCATTTGTTTTTTGAAGGTAAACAGAAAGACACAGAGCTTGTAATTTTCTATTCCTGTTGTTTGGTTTATATTGGAAAACAAGCATTGCAGTTGCCACTGGTGAAATCTGGAAGATGTGAATTTTCAGTATTACTTACTGTATCTGGGAACACTAAGAAAATCACTGTCTTTTAATAGGATATATATATATATTTTTTTCTTTTATCATTAATAAAAACCCCTAAAATTTCCACTCAAAATGTTTGTATTTCCCATCCAATAATAAATATTTACAATTTATTTATTTATTTTCCTGGAGATTAAAAACATTGTCCTTTGTTCCCTTTTTACAATACTTAAATTACAAAACAATTAGTATGTTTGCTTTATTTTGGGCAAAAGTCCATCAGATTTGGGTACTTATCCTATGTTTGCAATATATCCAGAATATGCTGTTGGACTTTGCTTTTGTTCTATGCAAAGTGTGATGCACATCGATTAGAAGTTAAGCATGGGCATTCTGTATGTGTGCTATGTATGTGCACAGCTAAACCATCTTTAATATGAATATATATGCCTGCTTTGTGCAGGCTAAAAGTAATGAATTCCTGAAAGTGAGAATTCAAAGGGAATTATGTCTTGCAAAATTGTGTACAATTACTTTAGCTTATGCTAAAGTGGTTTCTGTGGATGTCCCTGGACTACCTTTGAATTGTCCCCTATGCAGGCTAATTCACACTGAATAAGGGAAAAATTCTGAGATGATACTATTAGAAACAATTTTCAGTCTTGAAGGATATCAAGGACTATACAGGCTATGTATAAAATCCTTGAACTATTCTATTTGGTTAGAAATATGACATTTATTTTAGATTAACTGGATTCCCTGTGCATGTTAAACTTGGATATATTTATATAACACATTGGCACTACTTTTAGACACAGTAGTGGAAGTAATCTGGTTATATTAAGTGGGGTATTCCACTAAAACAGTTATGCAGCTTCTGGCATGTGTGCTTGCCTAGCTATTTCTACAAAGCTTTGTGTCAGGTATTATAGCAGTGTATTGCAAAAGAGATATGACATCTGTATGAAAAATGGTCTCTCTCACTTTCATACTGAATATATGAATTTACATTACAGTGAATTAGGAAAGGAAGATATAGATTTAATATATAGATTAAAAGGGTTTAGTAGCCATTTTGGTGTGTCCCAATGAAACTGAATTTTGGATTTATAAATAGAGATTAACAGTATCACACATTTCCTTGTTCCCAAAGCATATCTGCAAAGTAAAAATTAATTGAAAATAACCCCAATAACAAGTAGGTATATATTTTATTATTTAAAGTTTCAAAGTTCAAATTTTTTTTTCTCATTTTTTCTTCTTTCTTCATTTCTTCTCTATCTTAGAGTAAGATTTACTGTAATTATTGTGCTCATAAAGACTCCCTCTTTTTAAAGTGAGTTAAACTAAATGTAGTCTTAGGTCTACATTTGAGAAGGAGGACAGCCCTATGAAAATGAAAAACCCTATGAAAAAAGTCCAAGTCTATTTGAAAAAAAGAACAATGGTGTGTGTGTTAATGTTCAAGCTCTCAGTATGCAACATATTTAAATATTTTTAAACACATTTTTGAACTGAAATTTAAAGATTAAGCTTATCTACTTTTCCATTCTTTGTCAAATACAATTAGATGTTGAACTTAGCGAAATGGTTTAGTGGAGGACTTGTTAGTGTTAGGTCAGAGGTTGGACTCGATGATCTTGAGGTCTCTTCCAACCTAGAAAATTCTGTGATTGTGTATTTCCACAGTTCCTTTTGTTTTACAACATTCTGACAGTTCTAAAGATAGCAATGTTGAAGGCATTTTCATAAATAATTTTTGTAAATTAACCGTACTTTTACTATGAGAACCATGTGCTGGCCCTGCAACAAGTTCCCTATTTTCCATTTTTCATTATACTTAGTATCTAGATAAACAGCATCTAAAATAATACTTGATTATCCAAACAGGATGGTACTTCTGCCTCTCCCATGAGTTCCAGTTCTTTCTAAAGAATTTAATAGACAAAATTAAAAGTTAAATATTATTCAACACTGAGTGCAAAACAGCTCAAAGTAGAAGATAATTTACTTTAAAATTACTTATGAAAGGTACTTTAATAGTTTCTTCTGCATAAGAAATCAGACACATATACTAATTTCTGGAGAAGCAGATCATCATTCAGATATTTATGAATGAACATAAATACCTAGTCAGAGAGACCTGTGGAAAATTCATCCACTTTTGGGACGTATTGATTAGAGGAGAGGTAAGAAATGGATTTTATTGTTATTGAAAATGTGTTTCAGAGGATCACTAAAAAGAAATTTAATTTTCACATTGAAAGTGAATGCTGGTCTTTGGAAACTCTGGAAAGCAGATTCAGTTCTCCTGAACAAATCTGAGGCTGTCTAACATAGAGTTACTCTACAGAAGGTTATTAAATAATTTTACATTTTGTTCATGTCAATTTTACATTTTGTTCATGTAACTTATGCTATGTGACCTACATAGTATCATGGAAGCGTTTATTGCACTGTAAACATTTTGGAGCCTTTTTTTTTTTTTTTTCTTTTTTCCTTTAAAATGTACTTCTACCTACGTACTCAGTTTAGTAAACTGAAAATAGTAATAACCTTTTTAATACAGTCTCTATTTTTCACAAGTTCCCTGGAACGCAAACATTTCAACAAGATAAACACTGGATTTTGCTGATTTTTTTTATTATTATTATTTTTATTTTTTTCCATGAAAAAGCTTAGAGCTGGGAAAGAGGACTGAAAAACAAAAGATTGTATGCATTCCCTGGGTGGTGAACAATTAAATTGTTGCTACATCTTTCTATGTAAATGAAACTGTACAGTATTATTTTTTTCCAATATTGAACACAATTGCAACAACTCAAAGATGATGGAGCTATGTTAATAAATAGGAGACATAGGAGTAAATATGACATAGATATCATTGTTCTACTATAAGTATAAATTCTGTGAGAAAAACGAAGAGACTATAATGAGGAATAGAATCTTCTGCAACTTCTGGATTTAAGGATGTCATGAAAATTGAAGTAATTTTTCTATCATGTACAACATTACTGTTGTACTGACAGAAAACTACAAAGTTTTCTTGCTATCAATGCAATCAAACAAATTCTTGAAGTAGAAGGGAAAATTACATAAATTTTCTTCTCTATTACAATGTTTTCTGTGTATTAACAAAAACAAATCTTTCTTGTTTGGAAAAAAGAAAAAGTTCTTTATGCCCCTCCTGGGAATTGTTATGCTTTGTTGAATGTGGAGTTTAATTTCTTTTACAGGTAAGTTTGACTGGACTAGTTTAAATGGATTATTTCTTTTCAGGTGACCAGACACATATAATAAAATTGTATTAATGACTGATTTTTTTTCTGTTTGCAGGCTGAATAGAAAAAGAAAAACAGGTAAACTCTTTTTAATTTGAACTTCACGTGTCTTCCTTTCAGGATGGAAAAGCAAAATGGAGGAAGTCGCTTACTTCCTGAATGGCATTAATATCTGTTATTCTCTTCCGGAAGCATTTAGGTCTACTCATAAAAAGGCTACAAAGTATGTACATAAATTTAGGTGTTCCAATGGGCAGCAATGCATCTAAAAATTAAAAGTCTATCTGACTGATACCTACAGATAACGCAGATAAGCCAACAGACATCTGAGCTTCAATGTAATTTATTAAGGTTCTAGTTCTACTTTGTCACATAATGACATGTTAAAGCTATTTTAAAAAGCTTGTGAACTATTTTCACCTAGTCTTTCAGCTAGTTTAAGGGGGCTCAGATTAAGCTTGGAAAAAGCACATTCATTCATTCTATTATTGAAATTATTTGTTATGTTTATAGTATACATTCTTTCTTCCTTCTGAGGAGCATGTAAAATTTAGAAATGTTAATGATTTCATTATAAACTAACTCCAGTAACATAACCCTTGTCCTCAAATTGACTTGATACCTGCAGTGTAACAGAAGTAAAAATTGAGATTATCTTTGAACAACACTGTTCAGGAGTGTTAGATGCCCAAGCTAACTCAATATATCACAAGTTGTTTGGTTACATTACCGACCTATTCAGTTTAGGTGAACAGAACCAGTGTTACAATAACGGAATTGGTTTGAGCTACCTTGGGCACTGTATTGTGCACATAACACAGGAACCTATATCATGATGCCAAGTGCTTTCCAATAGTGAGGTTTGATTATATTTAATCTTAGAGATCTAATTAAGTCTTACAGATCTTTTTGAGAAACAGCTTTGACTTCAGTAGATTTTCGCAGGACAAAGCAATATTTATGAAGTATAATGAGTCACTGGCCTTTTTAAACAAGTCTTTATGAGAAAGTGAGTAGCTTACTCTGACTTAGTTTAGAGGTATTTTTATGAGTCTGATCTCCTTCCTTCACCTATCCTTGATATTTTTGGTACTGTCCTAACTTTTCATTTAGTGAGGTTTACATTCTTTGTACACATTTTCATTATTATATTTCCATGCTGAAAATCCAGTCTGCCAATGAAAATTTATGTCAGAATAGGTGCTGTGGAATAAATCAAGATTTTGTTCATTATGGTAATGGTAAATCTCAGTTCGTTATTTAAGCTGGACAAAAATATGAGGCTATAAAAGGAATTAGATATTACTTAATAGCAGCAGTATGTTTCCCGGATCAATAGAGTTATAGATAGGAAGTCTAAGAAAGGTGTAAATATTTCTTTTATATGGGAAAAGATTTTACAGATTACATACCTTTTATAAATACCTACATCCCTTTAGAAATGCTGTTCAAGACAGCCACATTGTAGTACAATCTGATTTCAGTATCCATGGCTAAGATATCTGATATGGCAGATACTTTTTCATATAGACCTTTTACAATGATGATACTTTCAAATAGATACTTAGATACTTTCAAAACATAAAGTTAGTATCTTACTTAAGATACTGTCTAATAAAAAAGAGGTGTTCATCAAAAGAGATGAAGTGTGAATGTTGTCCATATAGGTAGCAAAATCGAGGCTCTTACATGTCCAGTTTAAACATGCACGAATTTAAATTATAATCAAGGGTCTTTCAAGTCCAATTTAAACATTCACAAGTTTGAATTCCATCACTTATAGAAAATAAAATGAAAAATGTAGAGAAATAAATTAAAAAAAAAAAAAAGATAATTGATGAAGTGCAAATCAGTCTAATTCAGGCAGAGGAATGAGGGAAGATGAACAGCTTGTGAGCAGTGATCAGCAAGCATTTACAGAAAGGCTTTTATCTTAGTCTTCTTATATGGACAAATAACACAATGCCTGTAAAATCTGAGAATTTTTGTCTGTCTGGAAAATGAATTGGAATATAAATGATCATACATATGTATTAAATGAGAGATCTTTAAAGAATCTAAGGACATATGTAAATAATTGCCATTTCTATTCACCAGTAAATAAACCAAACTCTTCTGCCAGAATTGCAATAATGTATATTTCATTCCATAGCAAAAGTTCCTTTTATTTCCATTTATTTCAAATTGAAAGATAGTATTTGCAGTAAGTGACACCTTAATGTGCATCCTGTCACCTGCTGTTCCTCTTGGCTGATTAAAGCTAATTTATAGTTCTGCCTTTTTCATAACTCTCAACAAAGTATGGTATTATCAATAAAGAATGAAAATACCATTTTTTCCATACATGTCTCATAGACAATATGAGCTACGATCTCATATACCCCAGGATTTACTTACAGAATTACAACTAGTTGGTGGGACTCAGCACAAGGCAATTCTACAGTTATTTGTGAAACTTATGATAAACATGACTTACTCCTTCAGAGAAGGTAAAGTCAGGTATTCAGAAAAAAAAATGAATGTAGAGATACAGTAATAAAAGTACTGAAATGGTAGCATGTCAGCAGTCAGAATATCATTCACGCTGACTATACATCTTTGATTTGAAACATATTGTTTGTTTTTTTATGTGGAGATAAGCAACACAAATGAAGAAATAGAGTGTATAGAGTGTGTGTATGCATGTGTACGTATACATAAATATGGATACATTCACATGAGACCCGAGTATAATAATAATAATATATAATAAAAAATAGTTCTTTTCAGAAATAATAAAATAATGTTATTAGTATATTTCTGGGTCATTTTTAGCACAGCTCAAATTCTGCTTATCTTTTTCTGCTTCTAGTCATGTTTCTTTTTTTTTTTTTTTCTTCTTCTTCTTTAAAAAAAATAAAATTATCCTGATGCAAGCAAACATATAATAGTGAATGGACTCTCTGGGAGTGCCGGCAAGCCCACTTTTGACAGCATGAACTCTTAAGGAAGGAACAAAAGTGTGAACAGACCCAAAACTGTCAGAGAGGGCCTTTGCCCCAAAAGGTTTCTGGGGGATGTTGACAACCAGTGAGATTGAACAGTAAGTGGGAAACTACAGGGAGAGTTTTGAAACAAAGGAGGAGTTTGCTTGAACACAAGTATAAAACAAGCATGAAAATTCATAATGGTGTGGAGAGACCACATTGGATTGGAGGCAGCAGCAGTGAAAATCTGTTTTGATGCTGCCTGAAGTCACTTTCCAAACTCTGCCCGGGTCAAAGCAACCACTCTGATGGACACTGCAAGAAGCCCACATGTGGTTGGGACTGATGACTTGGTGGGTAACACCTGGGACCCACACATCAGGAGAATGTGTGTGTGAGTTCAAATGGTGCTTTCTCATGAATTAGTGGGTTAAGAGGAGAAATGTATATGCTTGCAAAGTCGAAGCAACTGTTTCCAACCAGAGCTGTGTGGAAATGCAGATACCTGTGTTTCCATGAGAAATGGGAGGACGCTTGTAAGCTACATCTATGTGTGTGTAATTGAATTTTTAAAAAATATTTAAGAAGGGTGTTTATAGATTTATAAATGTTTGTTTACAATTTGTAAGTGTCTAGTGCTGTGGTTTCAATATGCTTTGTGGCTCATATTAATCCTGAATTTATAGCTCACTGATTGTGAGTTAATTAGTGTGATTTGTAAATCAATAAATTCCTTCAGTCCTTATTTAAAATATGTGAACTGAGCAGCTGTTCCCTGAGACTGTATTCCAGCTCTTACTTTTTGGACACTAAAAAGGTAAGTGATTCAAACACTATCTGAAATATGGAAGAATTATGACTAACCTATTCTACGCAAGAAAGATTCAGATTTTGCAGTGAGTAATGGTAGTACTCTACCCTATAATAAAAAAAAAAAAAAAAAGATATATATATAATAGCTTGGCTGCAGAGTTTTTTACACAAATTAAAGAAACTACCCTCTAAAATATCAATCTGTTCCTATTTTAAATGGAAACATTTTCCTCTTTCCCCAGATACTGCCCAGAACGTTATCTAATCTACATACTTGGCTGGAAAATCTGATACTAAATCTTGTGGTTGCTCCTATGCATGCAATAATAAATTTTAAGGTTGCCTTAAGCAACAATACGACCAGCACTCTGCAATGTTCTTAATCTCAATGAATCTCTAATGCATCTTAATTCATTATTAAGAATCAAGCCAGCAAAGTGGTCCTAACACCATTTCTTGGGCATTAGGTCTTTGTGGCAAATTCCTACAAAATTTTGTCTAGGCAAAATAATATTCCATTAGTCAATACATAGAGTTTGGCTTATCTAGGTTTTGATAAAATGTAGGTAGCTATCTTTATATGCTCTTTACCACTCTTCGAAAACATTTCTTCTCCACTAAGTAGTATAAATGATTTGACGTTAGTTTGACATCTAATAGCAGGGATGTAGCAAGACATAACTAGGAATGATCGTACCTAAAATAGGAAGACATTACACAAGGCAGCACAGAAACCACCTTTCTTCGATCTTCAGAAACAATATTGTTTTTTACAAAAGCCTAATTTACAATGAAATCCACACACTGTTTTTACTATAAATTGTTTCACTACACACTTTTTTTTTCTTTTTAATATACTCAGGATAACTTGTCCTTCTGTCATGTGGCTTAAATGTGACTGTTTTATTTTCCAGGAAGGGTAGTATATAAAAAAAAAAAATAAAGCTCATTATTTTTAGCATTTAAATGCATCTTTTATGCAACCCAAGAATGCATTTGAGAAATATGTATGTATTTGAAAAATATGTATGAGATATTATCATTTATTTCTTTAAAGAAAGTTCAAAATAGTGTATGCAAATGTGTGTAAAAGATGTTGTTATGATACTAGGAAATCTCTCCATATCAGAAAGTGAAAATAAAAAATCCAGTTTAAGTGTTTTAGAGTCACCACTGGGACCAGACTTAAAATACTATAATTGATTCTTTAACTTTGCGACGCAGCACAATCTCTGGATGCCTCAGAAATAATCTTACCAAACAAAGAATTTACTGGTATACAAAAGAGATGAATTGCATATTTTTGCTTATTGTGCATGGGTTTCATATATTCTTCCAGAAAACCATTTTCAGTTTTAATCTTCAGTGCTCTGTATTGATGCAACAAGGTAGGTTATATCCATATGAATATAGAATTTAGATTCCTTGTTTAGATTCCACATCAGACCAGCTAATTATATGTATCTGTTGTGTTGTCTGTATGGTCTGTCTGACTGGTCAAGCAGTCTGATCAAACAGAGCTGCTGTATCCTTTTGAAATAGCATGTTTCCATTCCAAAAATCTGTCTTATTTCAATCAGTAGTCAAATTTCTTTGGATTAATCTTAAAAACATCATTCCAGAGGATAAAAAATAGGAGGGGAAAAAATACCTATCTTTATACAAGATCCCTACATAAAGGAACAAAAAACATAAGGTAAATATTTTATACAGTGTTATGAGAAAGTTACTTCTTAGAAGCAAAGCTTTTCTGCATTAGGTAACCACGAGAGAAACTTGCAGTCAACAGTAGACTTGAACATTGTCTTGCAATAATTCCTTACACAGATGTGATTCAAAGGCAATTCAATACATGGCAGGAACCAGAAATTCCACTGGAATTTACAGACCTACTGGTCTACATGTATTTCAGATGACTAGAACAGAATAACCATATCTTTAATAATATCAAAATTATTTGGCCTTTTAGCTGCTTCAGGTTTCTTCCAAATTCCAGGTGAAGGGCCTATGATGTGTCTACCAGACAGGGATGGTACACAATGACATTGATCAAACAGCTGCAATCATTCACAGGCAAATCTGTCTCAAGTAGAATTTGTATTGTTCAGAATCCTGCATAGTAAAGAGGAAAACCAAGGTCAAAATATGTAAGTAACAAAGGTTGAACCACTTATCTGTAGGTAGGACTCAATTCCTGTCAGTCTAGTAGGAATTAAGAAGAAGAGCACATCAAAAAGCATGCTGTGGCTGCTTTGTAATACAAATCTGTGGAAAAGAAGGCTTAAAACATATATTCTTTCCATCACAGTAGAGAAGTGGTAGAGCTAGCTCAGGAGTATTTACTAGAGCTAAAATGGGGTGGTATCTCCAGTTAATTATTGTCATATAGTTTAAAAAGCTCTTCTTAATGTTTGTCTTTATCCTCTCTCCTGTCACCACACAGCCTAAGTAACTCACCCTGAAGTGCTTCATAAAAATGAAAACTGAAATGATTTAATAGAATTTGCACTTTTTGTCACCTCATTGATCAACATTTTCCATGTCATTAATAAGTGCAGTGAATAAGTCCTGGTACTTCTTTTCAGACTATTAGTCCCTTCATCTTAGAAGAACTGACTCTTTTCTCCCTGTGTTGCAGTTAGCAACCAGATGAAATTAATCTAGTCTTTGATCTTAATTTTGTTAGAGTTAACTCGGTGAAATTTAGTACAGAGAAGAGATTCTGGCATTGGGTGGATATCTTATATTATTCATATTTAATGTGCAGAATAGCTAATAATTTGTCCACATTCTTACAAATTTACTTGTAAATCTTTAATACTGCAATATGTTTTCTTCAAACTCTAAATATTGCTGTGCACTGAGGTAAGGATGGATTACTAGAGCTGACCTCGGGAATATAAACATATCAGACGGCTATTTCTTTGGATACTTTTGGTGATGCTGTAGCAGCTTACGAATCTTCAACAATAAACATAACTAATGAGACATACAAAGTATGTGATTTAAATATATTTTTCATCAATTTTATGTATATTGTACTCTGCAGAAAACACAGACTATTTTGATTAAATTTTTCAGTTCCTCACAAGTTATATAGATTATAAAAATATCCTATGCCTTAGAAATTCCTCTTAAGAAAATAAATTTAATAAGAATCCAAAGTCTTTGGAGAAAAGGATACTTATCAAGGTGTAGCAATTAATTCAATATAATAAAAATTTAGAAGGAAAAAGTATATTTTGTCAAGTTGAAAATAAGAACAAGCTTGGAAAAATAGCAAGAAGCTGAGTAAACTCTGGTTAAAACCTTTAATACATTGCAGAAGATATTAAGGTACTATGAGATCCTGCCTCATATATATCAGAGTTCCTTCAATAAAAACTGTGTGTTCTTACTGATTTTTTACTTATTTCTTCCATTGCTGAAGGATTAAGGGCCATTATTTCTGACTGGAAGTTCAGAAATTGTCCTCTGTGTGTGCCATCGCCACATTGCTTACTTTGCAAAGAGCCCGTTTTGTCTGTAAAGCTGGAAAGGTATGATGAAGCATTGTAGAAGTGAGAGCTGGAATATGAAATATCACGGACCATTTAATAACTTCAACTAATCATAAAACCATCAATTCCCTCTCAAAAAAAAAAAAAAAAATTATTAGCTATAATTAAACCTGATATCATCAACACTTTGGATTGTTTCAAGTTCTTGGAAGAGTTTTTATGTAAGATTTTTTTCAAAATCCATCTAAATATTGAAAATACATCTTCTGACCACTCTTATTCCATATTTTATTTTTTGTATAGCTGATGATGCCTTATCATTTTATGAGTTAGAATTAAAGCCCACATTATATATCCTATATAAATGTGAAAGACAAGTTTATTTTAAAGTTATTCTTAAAGTTGGTTAGAATGCTTTTCAGCTATTGGATCTAAACATTCCATAAGAAATTAAATTACCTGCAATTTTAATTGTTTCTTGTCTGTGACTTTTTTGAAGTGACAGTCCTGGAATTTTGAATTTTTAAATTTTTTTTAAATTTTGCATTTCTTGTATGACTCAAAAACATTTAAAGGGGGGGGGGAGAAAACAAAAATATTTAAGGTTTTCCAATGGAAAAAAAAGGCATTTCTGATGAATTCAAAATGGTTTTGATTGGAAACTACTGACAATATAGTTTGAAACTTGTGTGCTTAGGGATTTTTGTTCAATTTATGGCTATACTTGTTTTTCCTCCTGAGCCCCCTTCTAATTGCAATCTTTCCTTACCCTATATATCTCTGGTGACCAGGACTTCATTAATATAAATGGGAGTGTCTTCATGAATTGACTTCATTCCTGATATGCCAATTTATGCCAGCTGTTTTTTGGGTTTTTTTTGGCCCTCTACCTTTTTTTATTTGGATAAATACTGTTGATTTTCTGTACCCCTGCTCACAATTTGTTTCCAAATATGCATCCCACACTCCAAGGGCCATCTGCTGTTTGTTCAGAGCTAATGAGTATGCTTTAGTACTAACATCCTTGGGAAATGGTGTCATGCTGTCACTTTGAAAAACAGGGCTCCTATTTTCTTCTGAACTCAGTTTTTTAACTCCTGTGAATTTAAATGTTTAAATAACTTTCTCTCCATTATACAGATTGTAGCTATGATTTGCAACTAAGACATGTATAGATGTATAGTACAGTCCAATGAACAAGGCTTAATAACCACTGTTCAAACATATACAGATATATTTAATAGAGGGGACATCTGTGCAATGCTCAGGTTTAGAGCACACTGAAAACATAAGCTCTTTCAGTTATGACTGGTTTGGGGAACCAGTCTTCTTTCCAAGAGCAAACAAACCCTATTCATAGACTTATTTGTAGTAAGAGCCATGCAAATATTATAGGGATCATCTGCAATTTCAAATCAAAAGTTTTCCCAGATGTTATTTAATAATGTCATTCTGATATATTTTTTTCAAACATACACAGTTCTTGTTTAGCTCAGTTATATGCCTTGACTTTATAGACAATGGCTCAATAAGAGAAAATTATCATTAAGAACCTTACATAAAGTCTATATTTAGGCACTAAAAGAATGATAATAATGTGTCTTCTCCCCTCCCATTGGTCAGCAAAAGTGCAATAACCACCAGTGCTGTCCAGGGTAGAAGTAGACTGTGGTTGCAACTACTGGAATGACAACAGCTGTTTTGCAGAGAAGTGATCCCCAACCACAAAACAGAGGTAAACCACATCTTAAAGCTAGATTTAATTAAGGATTTCTGAGATAAAATTATGATCAATGAATGATTCATTGAAAATAAGTGTTTCCTGAGTCAGAGCTGGGACTGGGACTGGAAATGACCAGCTTGTAGGCCATTGTTCAACAGCACAATAAATTCTCTATTCTCTATATTCTCTAGAGGGGATAAAAATAAACAAGTCCTATGGTCACACAGTGTAGTATACTAATAAAATTTTGCCATTTAAAATTTATTTCTCTCAATGGGATAGCTATGTTTTAACCATAGCTTCGCTCTGGTTAAAACAGTGCCAATCCAGATGGGACCGAGCTATCATGGAAGCTTAAAGTTAATAAAAACTTTGTATTACCTCGTGACCAATATGATAAACACACTCATACCTCACTCAGAGCAAATTGTTTTTGCACAGGCTTAGTCTGATCAATGACATAGCCTTGAGCTGAAATGCATAGTTTCAACAGTACCTTCAGTATAGAGGAGAAGAAAGGCAAGGAAGGGAAGGGAAGGGAAGAAAAAGATTGTTCTAGCCTGAAAGCCAGGCAGAGGGAACTGTGCCTCTTTCTATCCAACTTGTTTTGATGTCAAGTTGCTTCTTAGATTGGGGACCAGAAAAAGACCCATCTCTCTCCTTCTCAGTCTTATAAAGCTATTTTCCTTTCCGTCTTAATTAAGCAATCTCAACCTTTACATTACATTAGCATTTTCACCCTGATGAGAATTATGAATTTTATGAGCCTTTGAGAGTACGCCATGCAGTTACTGGAATCTTCCTCCATAAAGAGGAAGGAATGGAGTTTAAATGACAAGATACCTGTTTCCTGCTCCCTGGTCTATATTTTGTGCTATGCGAATTCTACCTGGCAATCAAATGTTCTCATAAAAAAGTGGAATGCTGAGAACATTTTTCAGACTGTACTTCAAAGATGGGTTTAAGAGTAAGAAGCTTTAAAAAGAAATACAGTTAATGATTCACTATTACATAAGCTACTTATCTGAAGAATAATTTGTTTTGATATTTCTCTTACTGCCAGATATTCTGATAGTAATGAAATAAAAGATATAGATGAGAACTACATTTATGTTGTCTTAATTACTACTCATCAAATTTTGCCCTTTTGAAGACATATATATTATAAAAAAGGTGAATATTGTAATGCAAATACCAGAAGCCCAATTAAACTAATTGGTGATATTATATATATATGTTTATTTATATATATATATATATATATTTCATATTCGTTTGTTTTAAGATGTTCTACTTAGTGTGGAATAAGGAGCCCCAAACTGCTATATGCTACATATTATGCATTATGCTTAAACTAATTTCATACCTTTATTGTGTTCAGTCTGCTTACTCTAAAGCCTTTCAAATTTTCTGGAAGAACAATATAAGTACAGTGAAAGCAATCATAAAGATTTATATGGCATAGTATTATTACTATCAATAACAGGCTGTCAGTATGAAAGAGGCAATAATTAGGTGTAATGTAAGACTGCATTCACTTTTATTTATTATTATTATTGCTGAAATAGTATAAGTAGTAGTAAAGTCCACATGTATATTAGCAGAACTACTCTTAATAGTTCAGTTAGTGATAGGGCTAACACAGATATGTAACCTTGACAATCAGGTCATACTTTAGTATGTTAAGCCAAAACCTGATTTGATTCTGTATCTGAGATGAAAGGAACAAAACCCATGCATTTTGTCTTTCTAGTAAACCTTTGAATGGAAGTTTACAGTGAAATATGGTTTAATTTCAGGCATTAAAAATGCATCTGAACTTTACATCAGTTTATATAACTTAGGAAAAAAAAAAAAACTAAAATGTATCCTTTCTTTCATTTTAAATCCTTTTGCATGTGGATTAATTGAAAATTACTTATTGTTTGAAATGTTAAGATATATTACACAGCAAGTCAATAACTAGCAGCAAAAGCACCTCTTTTACCTAGCTGCGTGAACTGAGTGAAGCAATGACAATGATATGCTTTTTTCATTGGTAGCAGCCTTTCACACACACACACACACCCCCCATTAGAAAACCCTAAACTTTAATCTCGCTTTCCAGACATTTCTCTCTTATTTCAGACATGGAACCCGAAGACAAATAATTATTTGAAAAAACAGTGGGATTACAGATGAAAAGAGGATACATCGAAGTGGATGGTAAGATATGCAGTTAACTCTACAAACCTGGAATTTGTCTCAAAGGTCTTAGTCAAAATAAAGAAAAACAATACTGTTTTGTATTTTTCCTCCAAAGAAAGCAACATATTCTATGAAGCATAATTCCAGCATCATTCATTTGAAATAAACAGTATGGTCTTTTTGCACCATTTAGTTCAGTGAAAGAAATTTTTCTTGAAGCTTGAATCTTCCATGCTTTCTGCAGTCTAAATTAGCCAGTTCTTAACTGAACTACAAAAGGGATTAATTAGAATACAACTAGTACAGTTTGTGTACTGAAATATTCTGAGTTCCTTTAAGAAAGGGTTGGTTTTTTTCTTTTTCTTTCTTTCTTTCTTTTTCTTTTTTTTTTTTTTTTATTCTTGACCTTGGTGCCAACAACAAAAAAAAAGACCCCATTTTTTTTTGAGCGAATAGTGAGTGGTGTTTGGGGGCAAACATGTTGAAGGACCTCAAGCTTTCTTCCCATCAGTCTTCTCTGAGTTCTTAGGTGAACATTGGTGAATGTAAAACATTAAAATCACACTAGAGAAATGTAGATGAAGATCAGATATTAAGATATAATCTTTTATAAATTTCATCTGAGCTTTTCAAACTGATTAAAATAACAATTTATTGGAAAATGGAAGGTGTTCTCCACCTCTTTCTCTTTAGTTATTTAACATTAGTTATAAAAATACATTACAAGCTATTTAAGAAACAGATCTACACTTATCTACCCACATCTATTAAGTAGAATCTTATTGGCCCTCACTGGGAACATCTCCAAATATCTGGGAAAAACCTGTACAGGATGGAGATAAAATAATCTTCTCTGGGATCAGATAGCTTTTTTATTATTTTTTTTTTTGTATTAAAATCAGTTTTTCCTCTCCCACCTCTCCACCCCCAGAATACGAAAGGAAAAAAATATCATAGACTTTGATATGTAAACTGTTCTAGTTACTTGAAGTAGCTATTTCCCTGTAAAATGATAAGGCTATACTAAGTGAATGTGTATGATTAACATGGTGTGCCTACAATACAGCATGCAGCCTGTAAAGATAAACCTTAATCAGTGTAGTTCCTAATAACTGTGGAGTTCAATATGTGCTGTTACACAGGTAGTTGGCTGAAGTAGCCCATCTATGCTAGCTTGAGCATATTTATGTAATTCGTAATTATATTCAGGAATCACAGGTGGGATAAAGAGGGAACAAGTGCTGAAGGAAGGGCAGAACAGAATTTCCTGGCTTGACTTTGGAACTCAGAAGGCAGATACAGAGACAAGGTACTTTCTTAAGGATCTGTTCCAGTATCTGAGGGAACTCAGTATGTTGGGCAAGAATAATTTCAGATAGCAGAGTTCAGTTTCTTTGTTTTCCAACAGGTAGGGTCCATATATTCTGTGAAATGCAAGAGGGCAGTTACAGTTCCAAGTATATTATGGAGCCTGTACTAGGCTCTATATCATCTGTTATAATAAAGTTTACTTCTAAGTATAGTTATCATACAATATATATATACATAAACAACACCAGAAAAATATTTAAATATTTCACAACCAGTTATAAAATGACCATTACGAAGATACATATTATATATGTGTGTGTATTATAAGTACATTATATATTTTTATATATCTGTGTGTATATATATAAACATATATGAAATGAGTAAATTTATAACAAATCTAACCACACAGTATACTGGACATGAAAAACATAGCACAAAGTAATGAATATTTGCTGAATACTTTTTGATGACCTCTATTCTCATCTCATTTTCTTTGCGGATAAATGATTCATCCCGTGTATTGCACCTTTGGAAGGCTGTCTTATTTGTCTATGCCAAACTACATTAGGAAAGCTAATGAATTCAGACATATTTCTGAATAATATAACTTATGGTATCTGGGTTCAGACAGTGTATGTGTGACATAGAAGATGCGGTAGGAAAAAAAAAATCCTGTAGAAAAAAGTAGGGCTACAATACCAGCAATATTTGTGATAAGATATAAATTTCCAGGCTCATGACATAAGTTGCTAGCCATATTTCTGTGTGAAGAGGTGTTAATAAAATCCGGAGTTTATAGCTGTGCACTTGCAATGTATGTTAAAGAATCTGAGTGTGAAGAGAAAAGTAGCAAAGTGAATAGAAAAACAGAAATGCTATGTGGTCTTATACTCTTACACTGCTCTTCCAGTGACGTGAAGTTACTAAGTGACACGGGCACTTAAAAATTTGCTTTGAATATGAATATATTTTGAATATAGTTTTTTATATGAATATTTCATACTGCTATCTATAAATTGTACAGCTGTGGGAAAGGCATTAATAGCGTTGTGTTACAGAAGATAAAACAAGCTCGGGTAACAAAAGTATGGGAAGATGTGTTTGTAGTTCATGTTTGTATTTGAATCTACAAATCTTATAGTGGAGAAAGTTTGGTAATTAAATACCAACTCCTGATTCATAATGTAGCTTTTGATAAAGAATTAGGTCATCAGACTTATTTGAATTCTGGGATTATGCATTATGCTTTTAATTCATTTTTGGATGAATCAGCAATCCATTATGCAATAACCCTTTGAATCTCTGAAAGATAGAAATAGGAACTTATTAGATACTTGCTATTAAAAATAAAAGAATACTTAAAAGAAATTTGAATAGCTGTAATTAAGAATAACTAGAATTGGTGACAGTTAAATAAGTATTGTTCTATAAGCTTTGATTAGGATGCAGCACCTGACTGGGTGTTTCATGAGACATGGCTTACTTTCCAGCTGTTCTGGATTTTGAAGAATACGGGCATACTTCACTTTATTTAAATATTTCTCTTATTAACTGTTGAACAGCTTTATTCAGAGCTGTTAGTGTCACAGTTCTAATTCTCATCAGAACACAGAATTGCAAAGGCAGATAAAAGTATTATGTATGTAATAGATAATAGGTTTTCTTCAACTCAACCACATCCTCCTATGAGACTACTGCAGAGCTATCTTCAGCATCTTCTGTTTGCTGCTATTCAACTGTATAACAAGGGAGTACCTACTTGCACATGAAAATTTCACAAAGTATTTCAATTATTAGAAGATGCTTGACTTACCACTGTGAAACAATCTACTCACACACCATACAAATGGTATTATTCTATTAAGGCTAATACATGGTTTTAGACAGAGGCAGCATGACTGTGCCAAGACTTCCTAACATCCTACTGTCTCTGCAGCTGCTCACAGAAGGAAATGTGCAGACTACTTAACGCAGCACTGTATTTTACTCTCCTAATGACAAAAAGTAGAAATGTCTCAGCATTAACATAGGAATGCTGACAACATTGAATGCTGGCAGGTGTGAGCAGAAAAGGCTCACGGCTTTTTCATTTTGTTTGTAGCCAGAACTGTTCCTTCCCAGTCTCCCTCTGTAACACTCCAGCTGCACAGACTTGTACTCCTTCCTCTGTCAGTGTTCACCCATTCTTGCTTCTTTTCTTAACAATGAAGATGAACTAAATTGGACAGTATGTTTTTTTAACATCATAACCATTCACCCTTCCCTGCCACCTACTTTCAGGAAGCATAATGCTACCATTATTATTATTATTAATTTTTACTTATTCAAAGTGCAAGCCAAATTATGTTCAGCCCACTACTTAGAGGCTATTGTTAAGTCCCATGGAAAAGCTGAAGCCAGACCTTCCCTGGGCATCCAGTCCTGTATTTGGCTGTTGCCAGGTTTCTCTCCTTAGGGTCTCAACAGCTCTTTTTCTTCTGATTCAAAAGTGTCATGCTAGCTTTTCTGGAAGCCAGGAGATTAATATACACCCTTCCTCAGTGGGAGCAAAAACTATACATCATGATACTAATGATCTAGGAATGTTCTCTCTCTCTCTCTCTTTCTGTCTCTCTCTCTTTTTTTTTTTTTTTTTTTTTTTTGTCATGCCTCACTCTTGTTTAACTAATTCTTTTAAATTGTTCATTTTTACATATTTAATTCTGATAATATGCATTATAAACCCAAATTTAGACATGCTCTTATCATACTACTTCTACTGCCCTTTATTAATCTTAAAATGCAGGTGCTAAAAGGTAGTGTTTCTCTCTCCCTTTATGTGCCTGCAGTAAAATAGTGCATAAAATAATTAATGCAGTTGCCTTTGGTGGGAAAAATCAGTGTCTGAGAAACATTCTGATAGGAAAGCATTTCACAAAATATAGTAATATACTGAATTTTACTCAAGTCAAGGAGGAAATTCATCACCTTCAGAGGTGAGCTGAAAATAGTTTTTTCCTACATCAGAGAAAAGTGTTTGGCTAAAGTTTAAAGCACAGAATGAATGGAAGTACTGACACAGATGACAACTACAGGTGAGATTCTCTGTGTCTATGGAAAGTTTTAATCTCTTGGCTCCATGTGAAAGGTTGGATAGGTGAAATACATCTCCTGCTGGAAAAGTTGCTGCAAAGCCCTAACTGAGCAGCAATACGTCTCTGTGGACTGAAGTACTCTGTAAATGAAGGAGCCATATGGAAGCAAGTAGATAAGATGCCAGCAAGTATCATGTGGGAACAGGTAACTAAGCCCTTGTGCCTTGCAGGAACAATATGACCTGTTGTTGTGAACTCCAATTAGTTCACTTTGTATATCCCTCTACTGCTCCCACACTGCCTTCCCACATATGAGACTTTGATATCTTTTATATTTGCAGCTTCCCTGTTTATAAACAGCACTGAGACCACAGGTAAATTCCACCCTAAAATTATTCTTGTTTATTTCTCTTTAATGTCCTTCTTCCTTTAACACTAAAGAATTGCCTATATCATAACACAACAGTGTTCCTCCATAAAATAGCATTATTATACTAGCAGCCTTATAATGAGGTAAGCAATTATGTAGGGGATATGATAATGATGATTTTAATGGGAAAGAAAAGAACAAGAAAAGAAAGGCTGTTCTCTTTCATTTGTAAAGTGAGAATGAGTTTAGGGATTTTTCTTTCTCTTTCCCCCCTCAGGGAAGAGAAATGCTATTTAAACCAATATGTGCCTTGTTTTTGTCTATTTATCATTACTTTGTATCTGCAGTAAAGTAATTAGCTTTGTTACCCTGTCATAGATTTCCTGTATCTCTCTTTGTACTTTGATTTTATATTTAGGAGGATTGCTTCCTTTTTCATCATTTGGATCTCTCTTTGGACAACAATCAATAAATCAGAAAATTGTTAAAACAAACAAACAAAAGCAAACGATCTCAGAATGTGAAGAACTACTATTTTAGAAATAAATGTGGATTTCATCTTAAAATTTTACACTCCTATTCTTTCTCTATTTTTTTATTTGTAGTTTTCTACTGAAATTAGGATAAGCACCATTGTTCGTATTAATTTTGGCAGAACTTTTTAGCATATGGTTATCTCCTCAGATTTTGCTTCGTCAGTGGTTTTGGTATCTTCTGTCAGAATTGTTTAATTTACAGGTATGAAGTGAACAACCTAAACTTAATTCATGCTTCTTTTTTTTTTTTTTTTTTTTTTTTTCATTTGCCAAAATAGCTTGAAGGCAGGGCATTACTAGATATGAAGACTTTGCTTTCAAATCCTATGTCAACTAATAATTTCAGACCCAGACATCACAACATCACATAGCTATCCAAAAAGGAAAATTGAAAGAAAATATCCTGTCTCCAAAAAAAAAAAAAGACCTCTTAAAAAGCATTTTGGACTTGGAAAGCTGTACAGGGGGTGTTGGTTGATAAACACGAACCAAGGAGGTCAACAGCATCCTGATTTTTATCAGGAATAGTTGAACCCGTGGGACCAGGTGGGTGATCATCCCCTTCTACTCTGTTCTGGTGAGGCCACACCTCAAGTATTATGTTCAGTTTTGGGTCACTCACTACAAGAAAGACATTGAGGCCCTGGAGCATGTCTAGAGAAGGGTTACAAAGCTGGCGAAGGGTCTGGAACACAAGTCCTATGAAGAGCAGCTGAGGGAACTGGGGTTGTTTAGTCTGGAGAAGAGGAGACTCAGGAGACCTTATTGCTCTCTACAACTAGCTGAATGGAAGTGGTAGGGAGCTGGAGGTTGTTTTCTTCTCACAGATAATTAGTGGTAGAACAGGAGGGAATGGCCTCTAGTTGCACCAGGGGAGGTTCAGGTTGGACATCAGGAGAAATTTCTTAGAAAGCGTAGTTAGGCATCAGAATAGGGAGAGTTTAAGGAAAGGTTAGACATGGTGTTTAGGGACACGGTTTAGTGGTGGTAGGAGGATGGTTGGACCAGATGATCTTGGAGATCTTTTCCAACCTTAGTATTTCTATGACTCTATGAATGAGCCTCTTCTAATAAGTAAGCTTATTAACTGATGTATCAAAGCCTAAGTTAAAATAAGTATTTATTCCAGTTAGTCTCTCTATCTTGGTTAGACAGAAAAATCTGTGATTTTATCTAAATTCAGGGAATGATCCAAGCTTCGTGAATACCAAGATCCTTCAAATACTGCTTAATAGAAAATTCAGCTCCTTCCCATCCTCTATATTTCAAGTTATTTATTGCATTTACCCTCTTAGTCCCCTTTTGTTTCCCCTTATTTCATGTACTAGGTTTAAAATACAAATTCAGATTACTGTTTGATATTTTAAAATATACCAAGAAAAGGTTTGTTTTGTGAAATATTACCTAAATTTCTTGCAAGTTCTGCAATTACTTCAGCAGATGTGGCAGTAGCCTATACTTGCTTTTCCAAATCACATTAGTTGAGCATTTTATTATTACTATTATTACTTTAGAATTTGATGTTTCCTTTTTGCTAAGAATTTATAGTTTTAATGTGTGTTTTTTTTTTTTTGTTTTTGTTTTTTTTTTCCAGGCTTCCTCTTTTAAGAGACCATAGAGACCATAAATTACATAGTTCTGTTACTGAGGATGAACGACTGTATGGAACTCAGAGGTGTTTCTCATCAACCTAGGTACTGATGACTGGGAATCAAAACAAGTGTTTGTCTTGTTGCAAATCACATAACTTTGAAGAATCATTTGTTATAATGCAATATACATACATACATATATATGTATAAAAATGTTATTTAACTGAATTTCATTTTATTTTTTGGATTTGTGGTCTTTGTTCATTTACTTATTAAATCCTAGGGGAAATTTCTCCAACTTGGGATTTAAGAAGAAGTTGAAAATGGCTCTTTAAACAGAAGTTACGTTCTAATTTGGACACTCACGTGAAATGTCCTTTTTCTTTTCTTCCTTCTTCAGTGATACGGTCTGAGAACACTAATCTGAACTGAGAAGTTCTGAGAGTATCTCCCTTATGTCAAGTGAATTCCCTATTCACCTGCCTACTTAACATTCTTTCCCATATTTATTTATTTATTTATTTATTTTCAGGAAAGATTTTGAAATGCTTCAATTTTTGCTGGGGAAACAGAATTATTTGAGGAAGGGAATTATTGTACTTCAGTTGCACTCTAAATCTCTATAGAAATTTGTGGAATTCAAGGGAATATCAGGAATTCCTCAGATAAACACGGTGAAATTGTAGTCAGCCAAACATTTAGAATCATAGAATCATAGAATATCCTGAGTTGGAAGGGACCCTTAAGTATCATCAAGTCCAACTCTTGACACCGCACAGGTCTACCCAAAAGTTCAGACCATGTGACTAAGTGCACAGTCCAATCTCTTCTTAAATTCAGACAGGCTCGGTGCAGTGACCACTTCCCTGGGGAGCCTGTTCCAGTGTGCAACCACCCTCTCTGTGAAGAACCCCCTCCTGATGTCAAGTCTAAACTTCCCCTGCCTCAGCTTAACCCCGTTCCCACGGGTCCTGTCACTGGTGTTAATGGAGAAAAGGTCTCCTGCCTCTCGACACCCCCTTATGAGGAAGTTGTAGACTGCAATGAGGTCTCCCCTCAGCCTCCTCCTCTCCAGGCCGAACAGGCCCAGTGCCCTCAGCCACTCCTTGTACGTCTTCCCCTCCAGGCCTTTCACCATCTTCGTAGCCCTCCTCTGGACACTCTCCAACAGTTTCATGTCCTTTTTATACTGTGGTGCCCAGAACTGCACACAGTACTCGAGGTGAGGCCGCACCAGCGCAGAGTAGAGTGGGACAATCACCTCCCTCGTCCTACTAGCGATGCTGTGCTTGATGCACCCCAGGACACGGTTGGCCCTCCTGGCTGCCAAGGCACACTGCTGGCTCATATTCAACTTGCTGTCTACCACGACCCCCAGATCCCTCTCTTCTAGGCTGCTTTCCAGTGTCTCATCGCCCAGTCTGTACGTGCAGCCAGGGTTTCCCCGTGCTTTCTTGTTTTGCATTCAGAGCTCCATGTATTGCATCTAATTTTAGCTTGGCAGCATGTTTTTGTATTTATGGTAAGATATAGACTGCATGCAAACTCCTTTCCAGAACTAAGGATGTCTTCTGAAATCTGTACCCAAAGATTTTTGTCCCTTTTCATGACATCTCATGTAGGGACAAATGCCAAAACAAGTACCTAAAATGCTTGTTATACAGACTGCTGTCAGAGACCTCATCTATTTAGAGAGCTCTTACATCTCCTTTTAAAGGTAGAATTGTTTTTCTCTGATAGATTTCATCTCTAGGACTCTGTCATTGATTGTTTTGTAATCTGTTTATCATCATAGAATAATAGCTTGATATGCAGAGAAACACCTATTATCAGGAATTTTATTTTGTTTTATTCTATTAAAGTGGAAAGTTATAGTGTTGCATTATCTGAGGATATATGACGCTTTACTTTTTTTTAGGTTTGATGGCAATAATAAAAAAAAAAAAAAATTGTGCAGAAATGAAGCACCCTGCTTTAGGATGTCTTTTCCTGATGTTTAGATGCTTTAGGAAGAAACACTCATCCTGAGTGCTTGAGTTAATGACTTCTTATCAAATCTTTTGTTCTAAGTTGTAGACTTATTTCAAAGTAATTTTGTGAAGGAGAAAATTGTTTCTAGCTTTTCCTGGAAGTCACGCTTCAAGATTCATGCTTCAAGACAAAAGCTTTCCCTCACTAGCTAGAAAGGTATGGAAAGCTCTTTTTTAAAAACAAAACAAAACAAAAAAACTTAAGTATGTCATCTACACTACAGAGGTCAAGCATCAAGGTTTCAAAACTGATATCTGAATGTCATCACAATGTCTATCATTTCAGTAGAGGAACCTGTTTACATGCATAAATTTGAGTGTTATAGAAAAATTGTTTTTCGTTCTTTCCTCCTCATTAGTTAAAACAGCATAGCATAGAATAGCATGTGTTGATGCCTGGGATTCTAGAATGAAATGAATTTCTATTAGTGAATCTAACTGAAGCAAAATCCTCCTTCGTAGGAGGGCTACGAAGATGGTGAAAGGCCTGGAGGGGAAGACGTACGAGGAACGGCTGAGGGCACTGGGCCTGTTCAGCCTGGAGAAGAGGAGGCTGAGGGGGGACCTCATCGCAGTCTACAACTTCCTCATAAGGGGGTGTCGAGAGGCAGGAGACCTTTTCTCCATTAACACCAGTGACAGGACCCGCGGGAACGGGGTTAAGCTGAGGCAGGGGAAGTTTAGGCTTGACATCAGGAGGGGGTTCTTCACAGAGAGAGTGGTTGCACACTGGAACAGGCTCCCCAGGGAAGTGGTCACTGCACCGAACCTGTCTGAATTTAAGAAGATATTGGACTGTGCACTTAGTCACATGGTCTGAACTTGGGTAGACCTGTGCGGTGTCAAGAGTTGGACTTGATGATCCTTAAGGGTCCCTTCCAACTCAGGATATTCTATGATTCTATGATAAAATACAAAAATATTTTCACTCACATTTACCTTTTGCAACCAACCCAATATTCACATCTGTTCAAAAGTATTTGGAAAAACTTTTGATAATGCCATATATCACCTAGACGCAATTAATCTTTTATATTGAATCTCTGTGCTGTGAAAGAGAGCTAACAAGAGCAATCAATTATTTGTAATTAAGTCACCAGGTCTTACATATATTTTAGATGAAATGTTATGATTTGTTAAGGATGTTCTGATCCTTCTTGAATGATAGGTGAAGAATTAAAACATGACTGCGTCATCTTTCATTTGCTGAATTTTAATAGCTGTTGAACATACCCAACATTTAAATCCTAATGAAGAAAGTGCCCCTGTTTCGTGAAGTTTGTCAGAACACAATTAATTTTGGCATATGCTTAAACTGTTCTGAAAAGAGATTCTTCTAAACACATTTTCCAAATGGGTCCCATTTTTTGTAATGTATTGGTCTGCATGTGTATGCATTTGTATGCATAGAAATATACTGTAATGACACTCAGCTTTGACATACTTTTTTAGCCAGTCTCAAGCTACGCGGGCTCCTTGATCCAGGCAGTGCTATTAGTTGAGACAAAGACATGCAAGCACAGTTATTCTGCTGCCAAAGGTATTTTTGCCAAAGGCAAAATGATGGAATGTGCTTCAGAGGCATTTCAGCAGTTTTGCTTGGAATAGCACCAAATTCAGGTAGACTTGTCATCTCTAGCTGTGCCATGCCAGAACTAACTATGCAGATCCACCAACCCTCCACTTGCAGGAGGGTTATCAAACTGCCTTAGCCATGCAGTAACCTGGTATCCAAGTCTAGGTGCAGTATTTCTGCTCTCAACCTAATAAACACAGCTTCTGGAGCATTCAGGTACAGACCAAAGTGCCCCACTAAGCAGTAATGCAGAGTCCAGTGAGAAAAGTGTTGAGCCAGTTAACAAGCTCAGCTGACCTTGAGAACTCATTATGGAGAATTGGAAAGTTTCTGTAGTGACCTCCATACCTGTATCATATGGGGTCAGGAATATTTCAGCTCCCTGAATAAAAAAGAGCTGAATACATGCATGAGGCCTTGATTCTTTATTTTCCTTTTAATGATCTAAATCATATTTTGGATTTCTTTATAAAAGTCCTAATGCCTGAAATTACCTTTTTCAGACATTACTTATTTTTCCTTACTCTCCCCTCCTTTTCTTTTGACATGAAAAGCAAAACAAAAAAATAAATTTTTCCTTTATAGTCCAGCAAGTTCAAATCATGCTAGGGAGCTCAGAGCAACAAACATGAAAACCCTACATTTCCCATTTAAAAGATATAGTTTAAATTAAAACTGTGGATATTCATCACTTACCTTATTTTACATCTTTTCTTTTTATTTGTGTTAAATGAATTTCCTGTCACTCATCCCAAGCTGGTATTTTCAGAATAGCATGAAATTGGTTTCTCAGTTCAGACCTTCACATGTAAATATGATCAGCCATAATGTAACATAATCTCCCCTGCTAATGACCTCATCTGATTTGGAACAAAAGGTCTTTTAGAAAATGGCTCAGATTGATTATCCACTTCCAGGATAAATCAGTATACATGTACATACACTGCTGCTCTAATAGGTAGTTTCATAGGTGCTAGGACAAGTCTTGTTCACCAGCTGACACAGAATAGCATAGCAAAGAGACTGCAAGTAAAGGGAAATAGAAATTTTATAGAAGGAAAGAAAATAACAGAAGAGAGTAATGGCTTCTGTCTCTTCAAATTATTGGTAGCATGGATTTGCTGCAGCTAAGCTTTTGCAGTTTTCACAACACATCACATTTACCTCAGCAGCTATAAGCATCGGCTTACCCCAGCATCACCTTGCATTAGACACTCTTTTCCTGCACATACAGCATTTCTCTTTAGACTTTTTAGTCCTTACAAAATCTCCTACCAGGCTTTGGTTTCTGATGCTTCAAAGAAGATTTAGTACCGATTTTCACCAACTCTATTTCTTACCTTCTTATGACAGGCTATGAAAAACTTGCTTTCATGTTTTCTCTGTCCCTTAGATAAACTGAAAAATAGATATAAACACATATAAGAATAAATACTGCAGGTCCTTGCCCTATTCATTCTTCTTCTTCCTTCTCAGTTTTGGAACAGATTTAAAAATGTATTTTTAATGACACGCAAGAGCTTTATAAGGTTAACTTTTGGCATTATGGATCAGATGATTTAGCTTACATTCTTCACCATGTTTATACTTTTTATATTGTGTTTATACAGGTATGCATATGAGTAAGAACAT